TGTGGCAGAAATTGCACTGAATTGCAGTCAAATGGTTGTGAATGAAACGAGATTTGTGGAAAATGACGCCACTTCCCGTGTTAACCACTGGTCGTATCATACAGCCCATATTCCATTGCAGGTGATGGGCGAAAGTTCTTGTGGAGATCCGCTGAGCTTCCTCGGCGTACTCGTGGATTTATGAATTTGTGTCAGAAATTGCAGTCGAGTGGACTTCTGTGCGTGTGTTGTGAGTAAATCGCGACGGCTCCCTTCCTTCAGCATCGTCAAAACGCAACATAGAGCATTATTACGCACTCGTTCCATGATTCATGATAATGCCTGGATTCTTTTAAAAACAATCAATGTGTGTTCCCTATCTATCTACATTGTACATGGTTGCAGGTCGTTATTTATAAATCTTGATAATTTCAACACTTTTCTACTCGTATACTGAGTACGCGGTGACTTGAGCCGTTTAGGAAACGGAAGTCTTGGCGAGTGTACAAAAGGTAAACCTATCATTTGTACTTCATAACGGAATTGTGCACAAAAATGCACACATACGTTCGCGCGCACACACACAAGCACACACACAAGCACACGCACAAACACTGTACAAACACACACAAAAGTACAAGCACATGTGCACATACACACGCCTCCCCCCCCCCCCCCCACACACACACACTCAACTCCCCACCCCTGTACTGAGTCTGACAGACATACAATCATGTTTATCCTTCCTTCGCCACCAGTTTCGGATAATGGTGTCAACAACGAGTTGTAAAATATTGGTATTTTAGGACTCCCTGCCCTGAAGACAAGCACAGCGCCGTGGATCGAGCAGATCCGGCCGCGCCGGCCTAGCGTGCTTCACTTTCTGGCCGAGGCAAACATCGTCCGCGTGCGCGCATCCCGTGTCCTCTCCCGGGCTTTTACGACTCCCTGGTGTAAATCACTCTCAGCTTCAAGCTCGTACCGTGGGGTACACGTGACCTACCCAAATCGTCGGCACGGCACTCACGGTACAGTCCGTGCGCCAAATTCAAAAAAGTCGTTAGTTGCACTTTTATTTGCAACCGCGGGAAATTTGAGAGGTCTGGAGAAGAAAATTCTCAATGGGACTCAAAATTGACAAACAAGACGACGACCAGCGCTCGAGCATAGTACCTTTTCGCCATTCCTTCGTGCATGATACCTATTCTAATTAATAAACACTACCCTCATATTTCGTTTCATGCGCAACGGACGAAGCGACGTGTCTTTTTTCGTCCACGAAAGAAAGGTAAGGAAATTGTCGTCTTCGCGACACCCTTCGGATTATTTAGTGGGGCATTGTGGGCCAAGGATATTTTTTCTTTTTCTTTACAAATGTCCCCAGGTACTGAGACGGCGCTGATATCCTAGGAGTTCTGTTAGTGCAAAATGCCAGGTTACTGACTTATGGCGAGGTTTGTCCACCCAAAAATATGGGAGATTTCTTGGATAACATACACACATAATACAGTGAATGGTATTGCAGTGGGCATCCAAAACGGTTGAACCAAACAAATAATATTATGGTATGATACCTAGAGGCTAGGCACACAAAAATCACTCAGGAATTGGACGCAAGTCCTGGGACCTTGGTGCGTCATTACACCCGGACATTGAATGTTTGCCGGCGCACGGCTTTTGCTTCACCACTTCATACAAGTTTACGCACTCACTGACTCAATTCGAAAGACTGGAACGAGACCAAACCAAATGTGACAACTAAGAGCGAGTTGTGCATTTGTTGGAACAACATTCGGGCATTGCGAGAAGGATATCAGCAGGGTCAAACAATGGCAGCAACAGCACCAGGTGATGATGGAGTACCAAGGAGCTTGTATCATGCACATTACAGTGAGCAACAAGAGAAACCGTACTGTGGTACGTGAAATCAGAGCCTGGGCAGGATGATCGACACTGTACACTGTGCTACAGCGCCTCAATTGTGCGAGAGAAAACAAACAGACCAGCAAGCACAGATCATGAACTGGTACACAACATTGACAAAGCACAAACCGCACAGCAAAGTGACAGGGCATAGCCGAGCGTTTTGTTGCCAATGAATTGCTTGAGAAGGGAGCAGTATTCCTTGTAACATTGCATGGAGTATACGAGAACGCAGAGTCAGAACCAGGCGTAACAAGGCAAGACGGCTACTGTACAGGGGCAGGCTTGACGATCACTTGCATACTCGCAATTTTGGTACGACCAGGAAATTAGGCATCACGTCATACCGAAGTGGCTTGAACACGCTACATTGCATTCATAGCTGTACGGTGAACCTGTTACACGAGCTTCTGTGAAACAGACAGCATGCCAATGACCTGCAAGCACCAACAAACGCAGCCGGTAAAACAAACGCTACTGCCCAACATAAACTTATACATGCTGATGAGAAGCAAGAATGTGCTTGATGTTGGAAGTTATGCTCGCATATTCAAAAACATGCATGGAAAAACATCAATGACATTGTTCACGAATACAACAGAAACATCATACAGGGAGAGTAAGTAATCCTTCCTCCGTTTTGTATACGCGCACGCGCGCGCGCGTGGTAGATAAATCCGTTTGGCATGACTTTCGATCGAGGTTGCGTTCACCGTAGAGATAGGTGAACTCGAAGCCAACACCTCTCACTTTCGCTTTACTGCCCCTTTGGGGTCGATGCGATCCTTGTGCTAAGTTGTGGTAGTGGCTCAACAGAACAGGACAGGTGTGTGTGTGTGTGTGCACGCGCGCGCGTGCGCGCATGTGTGTGTGTGTGTGTGTGTGTGTGTGTGTGTGTGCGTGTGTATGTGTAAGTGTGGTTTCTGAACTTTTCTCACAATCGTATAAGTTTCAAATTTTCGTGAAAACCCAGCTACACTGTGCATGTGACCGGTACAATCGCATGTTGTTTACTAGTATCTGGCGGTCAGTCACATGGCATGTCGGGTATCCAACAGCACCGCACTGACAGCTTATAGACCTTATATTTAGTATTTATAGTCCTACTTCAAGTAAATGTAGACAGTCAGCATCATGAAAGTTGCCATTACGTAGAGTTAAATACAAGCCAGTCTCTAGAGATGAGCACGACTGTCTCAGGGTAATAAGTTAACACAAGATGGCTTTGTAGCTTCAGTCGTCCAGAATATTCATTTTATTCCGCGGTTGCCGCATAATCAACACGCAACTGTACTTGTGCAAATCTCCAAACGCTCCGTAATTGGCCGACATTTACTTGTCCACGGTGATGAGAAGCACGGCTCCTAATTTTTAAATCATGGAAGGATTACATATGCAGGTACATGCATAAAATGTGCACTATCCTGAAGTCGTGCGCAAATATTGAAAATAATTCACCGAACACAGAGAGGCGCACATACCGCAAAGTACCGCAAGAGCGCCCCACCTTGATTTTGCTGCGACAGATTTATATAATACAGCCAGGGAAAGGAAAATCGTATGGCAGAGTGCAACGAAGTTCGTACGGTGTGAGCAACTTGGTGTACTAAAGTCACACTAAGCAGGTTTTTGTGTGGAGCTAGTGTCCGCTCGAAGGCACAGATTGTCTGCAGAACGTGCAATATGTGTACAAAGTTCGTGTCGTATAACCTACAGGCAGGAGACCACCCCCACAATACGACCCCGAAAGGACGAGATGGTGGGGCGCTCTGGCGGTACTTTACGGTACATGTAAATACGAAGGAACCACATGCGCAGCAAGGAGATTAGTCATTACTTTACTTATGAGTTGATGGATAGAAGTTGACCATTACCACTCATGAAAGCAATAGTGAGTGCTGTTGTTCTGATTCACAGGTATATATTCGGCACTTAGCGCAATGTGTTTTCGAAGCTAGGCACACGATTTGCATGAGGAAATCATGCAAAGATGTGGCATAAGGCCCTACAAACATGACCTAGGTAAAGGGATGCCATTATTTGCATTTGGAGTACTTTGGCATAGGATATTTTGTGGATGATTGTGTTGATCAATTTCACATAATTTCACGACAGGTCATAGTTTATTTAGTGGGGTGTTGTGGGCCAAGGATCTACGACCATCTCTTTTGCATTTCGAACAAGTAGACACTTTCAACAATTCATACAAAAAATGCCTTCAGTGCAAAACATACCGTTCGGACACACCAGGCAGTCCTTTCCAGCCTTGATTTTCAAGTGCAGACGTATCCACGATGACCTTCGAGTGAACTGCGGCTTGGAACACTTTGAATACGAACCGCACACTCAAACAAACTAGACCACCGCATAGCTAGTGTATTCACGGAGCCAAAGAAGTCTCCTTCTGCCCCCACAGGGTCTTGGTTAGTTCTCTAGAAGGGACGAGAGCCATACCTAAATTCAATAAATTCTCCAATTCCAAAAGCCTCAAATGAAGGCGTCTTGGTGACTTCGTTTCCCGCGGTTGCAAATAAAATCAGCCCTTGAGTACCCCTTGGCGCACGGACTGGTACCGTAGTGGGAATCGGCCCTAACAGCTACAGAGCGAAACAGTTGCTGTCCACAGATTTGAGTAATATTTTAAAATAATAATAATAATTATTGTGGACCCATCATCACCAATGACAACCAAACCAGCTCCTCACCATAGATAAGTGGCTGACAATTCTGACACGTAGATCTACCCTTATCCGTCCGACCAGTCAAAAATCTACGACTATCCGTCGATCATATCAGTAAATCCATCATATCTCAGTCATTTCTTGACCAAATTCCACGATCGAAGGGTCTATCGCCATTAGAAAACACCAGGCTATCGTCTCGAACAATCGCCGAAGAGCTACGACACTCCCTTGCAACGATATCGTCCGCCGAAAGTAAAATCACGGCAATTGCGATTCTTATGCGCTCGGGAACATTTCAAAGTCAGATTTTTCTTTTTTGCATTACAGTTACGTCACCAAGCGCATGCTCATGACGTAAAAACCAAATAAATGTTCTGTACACAAAAATTCAAAGTCCAGCGATGCATGGAGGAGAGTGAAATGGCGAGACAATTTGGATTCTGCCCGCAGATCTGGCGCTGGGGCAAGTTTGGCAAGTGGCGGCGCTCGACTTGTGGCTTTATAGATGTCTAATGTGCGCTCTGTGCATTCGTCGCGGACGGACCTTTCCAAGAAGCGCGAGATCATGGAATTCGGCCAATGGAGACTAAAGTTATGATAATTTGAAGGTAAAATATGTCGTGAAATTGCAATTTGGGCCTGCTGACATTCTGACACGTAGATCTACGCTGGCATTACTCCAAAGACAGATGCAACATGTCATGTAGTTGACATCACCTGGGATACGAGAACGCCAGGCTTTGCTACAACCATACAATTATGTACATCCACCTAAGTCCACGCCTTGATCCGAGGAGACGTGGAGGGACATCCCCTTCAACATTGCTGCAGTCCATAGCAGAAACAGCCTCACAATCAGAGTCGCATAGACATAGCCATACAGTCATGGGCGACCTCGAAACATTCCAGTAGATCTACACTGTTGCATACAGGTACGGTGGGTCTCAGTCTTTCTATCGCTCGGCTCAGGCATTGAAATATAGACGCGGAAAAGGTTTCTAATCTTCACATCGCACTGGAACTATTGAAGCGCAACCTTTTCTTTCTTTCTTTCTCCCCAGCGTTCGCAATGTTCAGGTCTTCTAGCGCGTGTGTCCAGTGCGAAGCTGAAAAGCCAGACACTGGACGTTTGCTTCGTTGCCTGCACGTCCTATGTGAGGGATGCCTGAAGGACAGCGTCAATCCGCAGATGGCCAGCATTCATTGTGTTTTGTGCAGGAAAGAAACGAAATTGACCGATGGCGGAGCTGCTGCGGGGAGCGCTCGCCGCCCAGCGTGGCAAACATTGCCACCTTCCGCTGGTATTTTGTACACCGCCAACACCTCTACCGAAGGTGGGTCGAACCCGCTTTCAGACCACGTGCAGGCTAAATGTCCCGCTCACGCTGGCCAGGTGTTGTCGCTGTATTGTGAAACCTGTAGTGCTCTTGTATGCGGGATATGTTGTGCTGCGCACATGCGCGATGGACATAGAATGGTTCCTGCTACGGATGTTGTCCAGAAGCAGAGGCAAGAAATTCTCCGAGCCGTAAAGGAAATCAGCAGTGTTCCGGGCTTGTCTGACCTGGCCGGTTTGGACGACAGACTAACAGACCTCAGTGCTGCAGTGGATCAATTTGACGAGCAGGCTAGTGATGCATCTAAGAAAGTGGAGACGTTTTACAACGATCTGATAAAAGCCTTGGAGAAAGACAAGCAACGTGTGAAGGATGAGATCGACCAGATCAGGTGGAAAAAACGGATACACTTGGAGTCTGAGCAAAGCCGGCTGAATTCAAAGCGCCAGACAATTGACACCATCCAGGTGCTTGGTGATCGCCTTGCTGAAGGCTGTTCTGATGCTTCCTCCAGAGACACAGTGTCAACAATGGACCAGCATGTCTTATCGCTTCACAGCAGTATTCTGGATGCTACGAGTGGCATGACATCAGAAGACCTGGACACACCAGTGATGCACACCACTGGAAAGCTAGGGGTGACCATTGATGAAGAAGCAGTGGAGAATGCTGTCAAGACTGTAAAGTCACAAACAACTGTGTTCTCAACTAGAGTGGACGTGGAGAGGATGGTGAATTATAAGATTACGAAGAAGTCAACACCGGAGCCAGATATGTATATCCTCCAATTTCCACTCCAAGGCTTTGACAATCGACCACTTGACGTTGATAGCGTCCCGGATGATGTCCATGTAAGCGTGATACACCCTGATGATCATGTGCAGGAAATGCAGTTAACAGTGGGCAGCGACAACGGTAAACCAGTATGTGAGACTGAAATGCTCCAATCTGTCCTTGGTGGTTATCCTGTACATGTATCATCAGCTGAAAAGAAGAAGGTCATCTGGTATGTGCCTCATTACTCCAATAAATTCAACCGTGATTTACGCTCAACATCACTATCATTGTCTGAGGACAGCTGCACTGTCACCGCTACTAATACCGACTGTGCAACGGCTGTATGTACTAACGGATACTCATCCGGCAGAGCATGCTGGTTGTTCAAGACCAACTGGGAAGATCATCACAACATCTTCATGGGTGTAGCAAAGCTGAAGGACAGGGTTACAGTCAGAGAAGCAGAGACGTGCAATGCGGTGCAAGGATGGTGGTGGTGCGACGACCATTGTCAACAGCATGCGCATGACAAGTCGTCTGACCTCGTTTTACCACGCAAGGATTGCCCAGTGTGTTTGACTATCGATGTAGATAGTCAGAGGATCGAGGTGTTGTTCCGAGGCATGGAACGAGTGAAGATCCTCAGCCTACCCTCTGACCACGCTAGCGGTGAAGGAAAGTGGTATCCATATTTCCGTCTCAACAACACCGGCGAGTCGATTACAATACGCTAGTACGGCGAATAAGGTGTAGAGTAGTAGAGGGACGTGTTGGAGCAAAACCACACATCAAGTACATTATGCCACACACAGAGTGTCATTACAATCAGCACGGCCCTGGTGTGCGTGTGGATGTGTGGGAGTGTGTGTTGGAGTGCGACAACACCGGATGAGTCGAATCGTACATCTAATTCACGGGTTAGTGCATGTTCGTGCCGTTGATCGGAAACGGAATTCTTCTGTGGCCAATCACCTCATTGATAATGCTGATTGTGCACGTGTGTGTGTGTGCTGGTAAACATTTCCTTGTTTTGCCACGTAAATGTGTTTATGGTCTCACTCATTTGAAGACGTTACAAGCTACATATTTACACTACATATCTACACTACACAGCCTTCACTTTGCAAACAATAGAACACGGTGTACTATTTTTACCTCTAGTCTCACCGTCCCTTTCCTTTCTTTCTTCTTTTCTCCACTCTTTTGACGATAATTATTATTTTTTCCGTATGTACATGTAAATGTTTCATCGGTTCCGACTGCTTATGTATAACTTGACAAGTCTGTACTTTTTCCTTCCAGAATATTTGTTTGTCTCATAGAAAGTTGTTCATTTTGATATTATTAATATTTACACTCCTGTTGTACATTGTACAGCATCATGCCACGTCTAACTTTTCACATTTCAATTATAGCTTCGGCTAACCAGGAGCGGTTTTTCCAGCCGTGCTGCTACCCACAGTCAACTGGGAACTTGTGGCCAGGCACAAGGGGTACATGGATGCAGCTAATGGGGTCTTTTTCGGCACTTGTGCCAGTGGTTGTGAGACTTATCCACTCACCCCCACCGTTAGGCGCTGCATCTGCCGCTAGGGTTTATCGGGTGTTAGCGGCCGTCGTGAGTTCCCTTCGGGAACGGACACGATAATTTAATTTTTTTTTTTTAACCAGTACATTCTGTCCCCGGGGGAAATTGCGGAAAAAAATCGCAAAAACGCGGGGAAAACGCGGCATAATATGGCATAATTTGGGGTGAATTTGCGGTAAATTTGCGGTAAATATGCGGTGAATAATATTGATGTGCGGCAATTTTCAATGAGTATGTAGTGAAATCAATCAGTAAGGCCGTCATCACACCACGTTCTCCGACTCCCGTTTACGTCTACGTCTATGGTGAAAAAACCAAAACGGGTGGTCGTGTCATCAGACAGGCACAGTTCTTGACGCGTACACGCAGTCAGGTTTTTGGAGAAATTTGAACCCACGTACATCGAAGTACAGGGTCGCTCGGAAAAAGGCTGGGGTAGATACGCACGTTCATACAAAAAGTCGTATACCCCCCTCTCCATACCACGTCTACGTCTCCCGTTTCCTCTGCTCCCGTTTTCACCCCGTATACGGATCATCATGACAACCGACCAAAAACTCCTTACGTGGACGTAGACGCAGCGCTTTGTACCATGGTGTGATGACAGCCTTACAAGTCTCTGGTGTAAGCACTCGTCATATTTGAGTAAAAAGCCGCCACGATGAGACGTTCCTGACCGAACAGTGCACTGTGTGTACGTGTAGTGCAACAAAAAAGTTCAAAAAACGCGGGAAAATCGCGGAAAACGCGGTCTTTTAAAAATCGCAAAAAACGCGGAAAAAACGCGGCCGCGGAATTGCAATTTTCCCCGGGGACAGTACATTGGAGTGTACATGTACCTGACAAAATGGAGCAACATGAACATGATCAGATGCTATAGTCCATTCGTGAAAATAAATAAAAAATGGACACTGGCTCTTCCGAGCTCCCGTATTTGGCGATTTTTCATGATTTTATCACACACAGTGCAGTGCTGCGAAATTCGAAATTTGAAGAAGAGTCCAAAAAGGGTACTGAACTGGAGTTCGAACCGCACAATGCACTGTTGCAGGCAGGTCAAACGGCCTGGACTTTGATGGTTTTCCAAATTCAGTGCTTCTGAGGCAAAACCTGGCCGAAATCCTATTCTTGTTATGGCTTGATTTTTGGACAGAATTAATAGACTTCAGAAGCTAACATACATGTACATGCATTTGGAAGAGGATTCCACAGGGGATTGCAGAAAAACATTCTAAAAAAACTCAACGTTTGACCCATTTATGGTCAAAAGCACGAAGTCTATCTTTTTCTGAATGGACTGTAATCGAAATCACTGATGACCGGCTGACTTGGGTGTTTGTGTGAACAGACCCTACTGTGGAGGTACCATGTCATAACTGTTATAACTAGCATGGAGTTTAGCATGGATGAACTCTGCCGCAATGGGCAGTTCCGGATACGGTAGCAAAAGAGTCTAGTCTCAATATACCCCCCCCCCCTTCCTCCCACCCTCACCACTGCTCACCAGTATACAATTGTCTTCCCGTACTCCTGTACAATTCATCTTCTTCCAGAGCAAAGCTACTTGATTTGAAATCAGGAAGCATAATACTATACCCTATTTCACCGGTTATACGTCGCACTTGATTATAAATCACACTCCCATTTTCAGATCTGATCCATAATTTTTGTTTCAATAATAATTATAGCAATATACTGAGGTAGGATCATGTCACACTTGATCGGAATTCTCTCCCCTTCTATGCCCTTTTAAAAGCGTGAAAAAGTGCAACTTACATTATGGGCAATATGGTAGTCAACACGCACCTCAAATGCTTCGAATCTCTTCCCGAGGTACTGGATAGAAGTCCACATCTTTCGACTCAAACCCAGCCACACAGTAGATGCTTTTGCTTCAAATACTAGTATACATCCTGGGGAGCTTCAACCCATCTTCTTACTTCTAAATTACACAATCAGGCACTGGCAGACGTTCTAAAGTACCAATATTCAAACCTTTGCAACTTGCTCAAACTGTATAATTTTACTGAAGATACAGCAATGAAAGCACAACATTGGGGATAGAAGGCGCTCTAAAGTGGTCTGCGCTGGTGAGGCATTACAGCAGCACCCAGTTTATGACGATGAGTACATCCGCCTCTTCGACTTGAACACACACACACCGAGTAGTTAGCAAGCAACACCACGGCATCATCTCAGTTTGCTGGCAGAAGTCACGGATGAGTCTAGAGCACACCATTACTAGCGCAGATTGAGTAGATCAAATCAAATGACATGCATACAGACAGTCACACACGTATGTACTTCGGAGGCCTGTCCCAGGCAGTCCACGCGTGGGGACACTGCCCAAGCATGCTTGGGTACAGATATGTACACTTGACTCCATGCTATTATGCAGGCTTCCTAGTGTTCATTCCAATTCAAATCCAGAATGACTGGGTAGTGCAAATGTAGTGATATCTTTATCCAGACGATAATATGTATATGCACATGCGTGTCTGCAATATACAATCAAATAATTGCTCAAGTAAAATTGAAAAAGCATACCAGCATAGTCACGAGCCTAACAAGGAACTCACTATTTCCAAATGTTCAATGTAACAGAAGTGTGGCAGGGGCATGGTTGAAGCCGGTGAATGCTCCCTTGGCCAGTTCCACTCCTAGATCAGAGTTTTGACTTGATAGTAACCTGTTCTCCATAGCTCTCCAACAATTGCTCAAAGCGATCCTCTCAATCAATACGAGGGCCTGGGGAAATGGCCACGGTCAACAGTCGCAGAAACCACAGCAAACACGGAGCACCGTACAGTCTGTGACGAATCTACTGACCTGCTTTTCCAGGGGCAATCTGAGAACGCACACTTGCCCCGCGTGGTTATTTGTGTTCTGCTTGCTCTTGAACCCAGGCGATGAGCTTGGCCATCTTGGCGACTTCAGTCTCCGTTGAGTAGGTCTTGGACGCAAGGGCCTGGCGCAAGTTTGGCGACAGCTTCGGAGACTGCACGTAGCCGCGATCATCCCGGCCAGTAAGAAGGGGAACTCCTTGTTGCAGCGGACCCTGGTCAGGTGCATGTTCTTCTTCTGCGTGACCAGCTGCTGACAGAGTGGGTCGTACTTGTCCACGCTCAGGTCAAAGACACGGACCTACGGAAGAGACAGAGCACCAGAAGCAGGTCAATACACATGATGAGTGCTTGCATCACTTCATGTGCAGCTACTTGAGTTGTCAGTGTTAATTTTACAATATCACTGCGCAAACACTGCATGCACAAGGATTGTGAGTGTTAATTTTACAATATCACTACGCAAACACCGCACGCACAAGGATTGTGAGTGTTAATTTTACAATATCACTGCGCAAACACTGCATGCACAAGGATTGTGAGTGTTAATTTTACAATATCACTGCGCAAACACTGCACAAGGATTGTGAGTGTTAATTTTACAATATCACTGCGCAAACACTGCACAATGATTGTGAGTGTTAATTTTACAATATCACTGCGCAAACACTGCACAAGGATTGTGAGTGTTAATTTTACAATATCACTGCGCAAACACTGCACAAGGATTGTGAGTGTTAATTTTACAATATCACTGCGCAAACACTGCATGCACAAGGATTGTGAGTGTTAATTTTCCAATATCACTGCGCAAACACTGCACAAGGATTGTGAGTGTTAATTTTACAATATCACTGCGCAAACACTGCATGCACAAGGAGCGGATAAAAATAATGATAATATCATCTGGCCAAAATTTATCCAGCATCCTCCTTGGAGAGAGAGTTAATCTATCCCCAAACTCATGTGATTTGTACGTGTGTGTGTATGTGTGTGTGTGTGTGTTGTGTGTGTGTGTGTGTGTGTGTGTGTGTGTGTGTGTGTGTGTGTGTGTGTGTGTGTGTGTGTGTGTGTGTGTGTGTGCGTGTGTGTGTGCCTTGGTGGCCTTGGTAGACGGTTGCATTTTTTGGAGCTCTGCCTGCAAGTCTACTTTCCTTGGTTTTTACCTTGGTCCCTGGGCTTGCAGGGCTGGGGTGCCCTTTGGCCATCCCATGGTTTTGGCGAGTGTAACGAGTCAGGCGCGGAGTTGCTTTCATTCCTGCAAATGAACAATGCAACCGTCTGCAACACTTGGTTTCAAAAGAAAGCATTCCACAAACAATCCTGGCAGCACCCCAGGACCAAGCGATGGCACGCAATACTAGTAGACTTCATCATCATGCGTCAAAACGACCGACTCCTGTGTCGTGATTTTCGCGTTGTGCTGAATGCGGACTGTGGCTCAGATCATCGAATGGTATGCCTCACTGTTCAGCTTCAGCGGATGCGGCTGTCTCGTGATAAGGCTGCGCCCAAACTGCGGCGCTTTGCCGTAAACCTGCTGAAACCGTCACCTGCTTCGCCAATGGCAACGAATGCTGATGTGAGTACCCCCACTCATGTCACAGCGTATCAGGAGTCAGTTGCCTCTCGTCTTGCGGATATCCCCGGAGCCGCGTCCATCGAGGAGCGCTGGGATGCCCTTGCCACGTCGCTGTCCACTGCTGCGGAGACCACTCTTGGCTTCTCTGCATGTCGGCAACCTGACTGGTTCTCTGACCAGCAGGACGTGCTTGGACCACTGATTGAGGAGCGTCGATCAGCGTTTAATAGATTGATTGCCAGCGGAGACGCCAGTGATTGTACAAAGTACAAACTCGCCCGTTCCGGGGCGAGAAGAGGTGTTCGCCACGCCAAGAACCAGTGGTTGGAACGTACCGCAGCCCAAACAGACATAGGCAGGGCGCAGAACCGCGGAGCATCACCATGGACGGCTATCCGGGATATCCAGCGCTGCTTCCAGGGCCCCGTCCGAAAGCAGTTACGACGATACGTGACAAAGGTGTAATTTGTGCATCCGCTGAAGACCAGGCAGAGCGCTGGCATGAACACTTTCAACAAGTGCTCAACATCCTAAGCCAGTTTGAGCCAGATGTTTTAGCTTCCTTGACTGCTCGTCCGAAGAACAACGAACTGGCTGAGCTGCCAACTGCGGCCGAGCTTCACCGAGCTATCACAAGCTTGAGCAACAACAAGGCCCCTGGAGAGTATGGCATTCTACCTGATATGGTGAAACATGCTGGTCCTGCTTTCACTGGCGCTCTACTAGAGCTAGTCCATCAAGTCTGGCGGAAGAGTTGCGTGCCCCAGGCGTGGCGTGATGCCGAGATTGTACCGATCCCCAAAAAGGGTGACCTGTCCAGATGTGACAACTGGAGGGGCATTGCCCTTCTCGACGTGGTGGGCAAAGTTGTGGGCCGTCTCATCCAAAACTGCCTGCAGATACTGGCTGAGGAGGAACTGCCGGATTCGCAATGTGGCTTCCGGCGAGGCCGCTCCTGCATCGACCAGATTTTCTCTGTCCTCCAGCTGACAGAGAAACTGTACGAACACCGCACCAGCAGCTTTGCAATCTTTATTGATGTAAAGAAGGCGTATGACTCTGTGCCTCGTGAGGCTTTGTGGACTGCGTTGCGCGCTGTAGGTGTACCTGAGAGCCTGGTTCGTCTCATCGTGTCACTCGACCGAAGCGCTTTTGCTCGGCCCTGAGACAGGACTGGGCTGCGCTAGGTGCAGCGGATGCTGAAGGCAGTTCCGACTCGTCTTCGCTGTCGCTGTTCTCCATCAGCCTCTTTGCGACATCGGCAATACGCTCGGCATTGGCATTAACGAGTTTCTGTGCTTCGAGACGACGTCGGCGCCCCTCCTCATCACAACAAACACGCGTACGAATTGTGTGAATGTGTGAATTGACGAATTTTCAATTCATGAGACAAAGTTTCAGAATAGAGCAGCAGTAATCCGTCGAGTAGATCCCCCGACATTGGTAAATGTCCTGTCTAAAGGGAATCGGAGTGTAAAGTGCAAAGCTGGTAATACCAAAAACTCCTTCCTCACAGTTGCACTTTCCTGGAGGACGCCGCATCCGACTAGCAAGCATGGCTGCTTGAACACCTTGTGTGCACTGTGCAGTAGGACGGATACATGCGACTTGCAAGTGTGGCTGCTTCAGCAGCTGCTCCTAGCTCCTAGTGTCTTCTTCTTACCTTTACCTTTGCCACCTCTGCCACCTTTCTTGTTCTTCTTCTTGTTACCGCTGGCCATATCGGCTGGCTCCCACACCCAGGCGATGACTTCGTTCATCAGTTTGTACGTGTGTATGTTGCCATGATCGTCGCTGGCAATGAGAAGCATCTGCGAGGGGACGAAGTGCACCTTGGTGAGGCGATTCTTGCTGTACGGTATGACGTCCTGCTTGCACAGCGGGTTGTACTTGTCAATGTCCAAGTCGTACACATGGGCCTGCACACGTGTACACCGGCATGGGACAAAAGCAAGCAAACGAAACGGCGATTGTTTTTCAATGGTTGTAATTGTGTGTAGTGGGTGATCTATTGGGATGGGTGTGTTACACATTGGGTGTGCTGCGTTTCTTGCTGGCGGCGACTTGTTCTTAGCCATACAATGTCGAACAGCTGTAATGCTGTGGCATACTCCCGAGGCAGGAAAACAGCTTCTCTAAAAAATGATCCTAGGAGAATACATTATGTACTGTCGTGGACATGGAAATCCGGTCGCACATCTAGCAGCCCCAGGGCGCCGCAGTGGCCATGCAGCCATGGGTAAGCAGTATATGGGCATGACCTGATGACATACATGTAAGGCCATCCAGAATTAATTCGTTGTTTCGGGTCACCCGACCGACCGTCTTTTTTCACCCGACCGCAAAATGTTTTTTTTTATAGTGCATGCAAATGTACAGACTACACTGTGCTATGTACAGGCGCGACCCTAATAATAGCAGTCCAGATATCGACCTCAGAAGCAGCCACGGCTAGCCAAATGACAGGATGCAGCGCTTGGTGACGACGTTGTCTTCTATCTCCGATCCGCAATCGGTCCTGAAACAGCATCAGCTTCGCTACCTTGTCGCAATTTACAGAAGTTTTCAAGATGAGAGCTGCTCGTCATACTCGTTTGCCAGCGAGGCCAAGATCTGGTCCTGGAGGGGACCTGGATCTGATGGGGCAATGACTGCGCTGGATTATCTACACTGTACAGTCAGATTTGATCGACTGGCTAGGTGGACTAAAGCTATTCGATGTACATGGACGTAAACCAAAATAAAAAAATAAAATAAAATAAAAAATAAACCCGACCGACCGACCCTGGTACGGATGAGTGAAGTGACCCGAAACAACGAATTAATTCTAGGTGGCCTAATCATTATGCGTTGCAGCACACTGGTCGCATCGGATCAACATGATTGTGCACTGTTCTGTAGGCGCTGAGGGCGCAGGCCCTGGTCAATCGACTGGATTACATGTCCATGGCAGTAGATGGTCGGTGAAATTGAGACTGACTGCTGTGCAAGCTGATTTATGCGTCACACCAGTCAAGCATGTACAGTGAGCCAAGGACTACGGTACAGAATGCCTAGGGCTGGCCCCTATCTGGGGCACAGAGAAATACCCCAGGGGCCAGACTCCATTACATCGTCAGGCTCTGTACAAAACGGAAAGATAACTTCAGGAGCATCCCTTTGAAGTTCTCCAGACCCCCCGGTGATCACCATCACAATTAAGGCTGAGTCGGGTAGCATTTTCTTCAGGTATCGGGGTCGGGTAGTTTTCTACGGGTTGCAAGGGTACCCGATCAGGTAATGTTTCCATGATAACACCACAATGCACCCCTTCCCTTACAGCTACACACTGGGTAGACATGCAGAGTATAACATAAATTTGTGCACGTGCACTATACATTATGTCATCTGCGACTTCGGGTTTTCGGGTACTATTCTCTCCCCGTGCTACCCGAGGTCCTCACGGGTAGCACGGGTACCCGGCTACCCGTGAGGACCACTAATCACAACCATCATCAAATCCAGGGAGGACAGGTCTGTCAGATCCTTACTACTTGCGCCTTCTTAAAAAGCGATAAAACTTTCGCGGCACACACATTGGGCGTTTTCATGAATTGGGCTGGTTCACGATGAGAAACTTTTGCGATCGTATCTCTTCAGTTGAACCTTACTGTCTACGATCAATGCACAGAGCAGTTTGCGGAGATTTATTTTCGCGAATGTGTGATGGTGGTGAAAATAGGGAAAATTAATCTCTAGCGAAAGTTTCTCACTTTACAGTAATCTAACCATAAGGTAGCTAACAGTAGTCATGAGTCTCATGACTCATATCACTGGTGATAAAATAATAATAATAATTCGCGGGATTCGCGTTGGCATCGCTTGAATGTTCAGAAACACACAAACTAGCCTTCGCTTCCGCAGGCCACCACTATGCCTGGTGATACTTCATGAAAAAATAACTCAGCAATGCATTTTCCGGGGATCTGGGCAAATCTTGCTGTGTCCCAACAACCAGTGCAACTTCAAATCCTGTCGCTCCATATCGTTCAGCGAAGCACTAGCCAGATAGTTCGTGAATAGTAGCGTGGCCGAGTGGTCTAAGGCGCTGGATTAAGGCTCCAGTCTCTTCGGAGGCGTGGGTTCGAATCCCACCGCTGCCAGGATTCCTTTTTTCATACTATTTTTTTTTCATTATCATCGCATTATCACTCTCTGAAAGAAACTCACTGCGATGAGCAGCATCGGTTATTCTCCCGAGGCTCAATATGTAGACTGTTTTCACAGCCGTTCTTTGCTCTCTCGACTGTTTTCACAGCCATTTTTGCTCTTTTTTCTTCCTGTGCTGTCGAGGTTGCACTTGTAATTATTGTGTTTATTTTGCCAGTACATACAAGAGGCTTGGTTGAGTGTGTGAAAAAAAACTCACTGCGCGTATGCAAATCCCCAGCATGATCATGGCAGACATTCGGACTGCGAGCACGCTATCTATCCATAGCCCCGGCCTCGCTGCACCAGCTCGAGGCGCGGTCACTATGGGCCAGGTTCCACTGCGGCTCCGCTGTACGTCATCTGCGTCAAGAAACATCCTCATTACCATTGACATTGTGGCCGCGGCTCGAGCTGGAGCAGCGAGTAGGCGGCTCACCGAGAGCTTTCGCTACGATTTGTGTTCAAAAACTGCGAGCCGCGGTCGCGGCTTGACCTGTTCCGGCATTTTTCATTGTTTTGTAAACGAGAATTTTAAAATTCAAATTTTAATGCGTTGCGCAGGCCAGATGACGAGGATTATTTTGATTTCGCGCGGGTATGCAGGTAAAACGTCATTAAAAAGAAGTGGAGCACAACCGCGGTACCGCGAATGGCGAGTGTCAGTGGAACCGCGCTGCTCCGCTGCATGTAGCCAAGTGCCGCGGAGCAGCAAAGGCGCAGTGGAACCCGACCCTTCGGCTCTAGTCACTCCAGAGCGTCGCTTCGAATCCCAGTAACGCTGTCGTTGTCCTGTTTGATGGACTGCATTATTCCATTCAATAGAAGGTGCTGAAAGCCCATTACATGTCTAAGTTTCCATAGTGTAGCGGTTATCACGTTCGCCTAACACGCGAAAGGTCCCCGGTTCGATCCCGGGTGGAAACAATGACCTTTTTTTTGTCTTCTGGCACTCTGTAAGTGTGTGGATTTATCGTGAATGTAGGTTTGCAGCGTACGGCAAACTGTAGTTATCGCTGACAACCGAGCAGCAGGCAAAAGCCACGCGCGTGGCTAGGCGCGCAGCAATGGGGGTGTCTGGCATGCAATGGCGGGCAGCCGTACTGGGGAAAGCCCAGGCCGCACCATGAGTACGAGTACGCCCATATGCGCAGGCGAGACTGCCCCATATTTGCATAAAGGTATCAGCGCCACTAATGCAATGTTTACTACAAGCAGGGCTCATGGCGCCTAATCTCTATATTAGGAAGCAGTTCCTTTCATGGCACGGAAGGACTCCAGTGCGCGTACTAAGCCTCAGCCAAGGTACAGTACTAACCGAGTATGCAAGATAGAACAGGCGGTGTGGCGGAGCAAAACATACCACGTATGGAAGAGGCGAAGGCCCCGGATGCCGCCCGGTCCACAATGACAGACACCACCATGCTTATAATGGGAAATAAGGCGCGAGAGCCCACCAGGTAAGGCGGGCCGCATAAGCACGTGGCAAGCGCAAATAGCGTAAGACGTTCCCACGAGGCCACAACGCGAGAGTACGGCAGCATGAGCAGAGTACGAGAGTACGATGCCGGAACAACGCAGGGCGGACAAAGGTGTGGTAGTGCCACAGTACGAGGCACCTCAGCAGTTGGAGGTGGCAAACGCAGGGACAGAATCAATATTGGCAGCTAGCAGCAGCAGATAGGCGTGATTTTTTTCTTTAAGACTAGCAACGAGGAGCAGCAGGCAACCCTCGTTTCACTCGTGATTGCTTAATCACATGGCAAAAACAACAAAAATGCAACCCCATTTTATGGTGCTATGATGTGCGTGTCTCGGGGGGAGGGGCGATAATTACATGTTATTGACCGTGGAGTATTCATCAATAGGTTTTTCCGGTCAGAATGTGAAGCGAATTTCTTGGGATGGTGGAAAGTACTGTCGAGGCAAAATAGATCCAACCCACGAGTCATACGTAGCAGTGCTTTTCCATTTCAGTTACATCATGCAATTTGAAATTACATCATGCAATTTGAAATTACATCATGCATGGGCCAAAACCCATTCGAGGGCTGCATGAGCCTTGATGCTGCTTTCGGCTCCTGGGTCGGATCTCTTTGGCCACGCGTAGTTATGTGGCGCATTTAACTGTTGCCACTACTGTGCAGTAACTTGAACCTGTCAACTACAGTGCTGACAACTGAAATCCGACCCCCTGAGCGGTGGGTTCACATTCTTTGCGATGTGAGCGCACCGCTCAGGCCAGGGTCGGATTTCAGTTGTCAGCACTGTACTACTACTCGCGACTACTCTGCCCCCCCCCCCCCTCCCCCTCTCCCCCCCCCCCCCCCCCCCCGTAGGTGGAGAAGAGCATTGTACAGAAAACGGATTGAAGGCATCATCAAGTTATCTATCCCGGGATCCAATCGCATCCAGTGAAGGTGCTCGTACTTGATACAGCAAAAATGGGATGCGGAGTGGTTTTGCAAATCAGAGTGGATCTGACAGGTTTCATCAGCACCATTCATTACACACACACACACACACACACACACACACACACACACACACACACACACACAAGAGTTGATCCAGCCAGACTGATTAGCCCACAAGTGTATGTACATGTACGTATGCTTCAAATCAGGAGTATGGGAACACTGAAACCAACAAAGTGACATGCATGCACCACAGTGAACCCTTAATTGAACCAGTGAAACCCGACGCCAACAGCCCAACCACTATCTGCTACAAGTGTACCCAGTGCCTGGCCAACCACTATCTGCTACAAGTGTACCCAGTGCCTGCCCAACCACTATCTGCTATAGGTGTACCCAGTGCCTGCTCTAGGATTTCAAACCAACCAGGTACAGTTGTACATGGCACAACTCTTTCAACCGGGTCAGAGCCGGGTACGCTCAAGTGCGGCTACTGCATCTACATGTACATCAGGGAGCTGTAAATATATTATAGAATTCCGTGATGTGAAACTCGGGTATTGAGCCAATAATAAAAGTGGAAAGGAAAAGGACATATGGAAACGAGTTAAAGGGGAAGTATACCCTAAAATCAAATTTTCACCAGTTGTAGTCTTCGAGGTGCTGAGTCGAATGGTCTTGGTCCGAGGAAGCTGAGACGCTCCCTTCCTCCTTTATTCCCAATCGAACTCGCGCACTTCCACCGAAACTGGGTGACTGCGCCCTACTAGATGGGGATTTGTATGTAAAATGTCACTAAAACCGCCATTTCGTTCTTATAAAAGCACGGATGACCGCCATTGGCCCATATGTTGTAGTCTTTTGGACGCTGAGTCGACTGGCTTTGGTCCGAAAAGGCTGCGATGCAGCGTTCCTCCTTTAGTCCCAATCGAACATGGTTGAACAAGCGGTCACGTGCTCCTGCGTACACCAGTCACCTGGTCACCGTGCCTGCAGGGTACAACTTACTAGCCTGTTTGACCTTTTTTGGGTGCAGTCCTGTCACTCGAGTTGTACTCGAGTTGAACCTTCGTGTGAAAGTTGTCGCCTGCTGGCGCGGTGACCAGGTGATTTGGGCACCCAGGAGCACGTGACCGCTTGTTCAACCATGTTCGATTGGGAATAAAGGAGGAACGCTGCATCGCAGCCTTTTCGGACCAAAACCAGTCGACTCAGCGTCCAAAAGACTACAACATATGGGCCAATCGCGATCATCCGTGCTTTTACAAGAACGACATAGCACTTTTAGTGAGATTTTGCATACAAATCCCCATCTAGTAGGGCGCAGTCACCCAGTTTCGGTGGAAGTGCGCGGGTTCGGTTGGGAAAAAAGAAGGAAGGGAGCGTCGCAGCTTCCTCGGACCAAGACCATTCGACTCAGCATCCAGAAGACTGCAACTGGTGAAAATTTGATTTTAGGGTATACTTCCCCTTTAAGAGTAACTCGTTTCCATAATGTCCTTTTCTATTCCGTGATGTATTTATGTATTCCCAACCGGGACACATGTGACCCAGTGTTCTTTGCTCAAACGGGTCCAAGTACACCCCAACCGGGCCGCTGACCCGGCTGAACTGGCTCTGGAGCAGACACTGGTACTCACATTGAAACACCTCGCAGCATACAGACAAACATATGAGCACACACGTGCACGAGTGAGCACACCAACACACGCTCACACACTCTCACACACACACACACACACACACACACACATACACACACACACACACACACACACAAACACACACACACACACACACACACACACAAACACACACACACACACACACCATGCACTTACAAACACATGGAGTTCACTTACATATCCGTTCATTGTGCCGGCGACGAACACGGTTGACGAGTACGGTGCCCAGCAGAAGTCAATCACGGGGTCGTCCAGGTCGAATACAAACAGCGGTGTCTCTGGCCGCTCATCATCCCAGATCTTCACGCAACAGTCCACTCCACACGTCGCAAACACACGCGGCTGGAATGGGTTCCAACGCACCGCATAGATGGTGAAGTTGTGCGCTTGGAATGAGCGGATGTAGTTCTGCTGGTAAAGCGTGGAGCACTTGTGTATGATTCCCTCCTCGGTTCTTATCAGGTACACGTTGTCCAGGGTGGGGATGAAATCAAAGCAGCTTCCACGCACCAAGTTCAGCTGTTTCTCCGGCTCCATCCACGGCTCAGGGATGATGGGGATTTCGCCTTGTCCTTCAGCTGCATGATGGGAGTTATATTGCGCCGCGCGAGCGCGTCCTTCGTCACCGTCCACTGCACGATAAAGCCGTCGGACGACACGCTGAAGAAGTTGAGACGGCGCTGTGGGTCGTCCTTCTGCCATCGCACCTGCCACACCATGTCCGTGTGCCGCTCTAGCACAGGGCTCTCGCACAGTATGGCGTTGGCGCTGGGCTGACGGGCGTCCAGGACGGCCACGTGTCCGTCCAGCATTCCGATGCACAGCATGTGGCATTACTTCGGGAGCACGTCCACGCTCATCACGCCGCTCGCCATGTCCATCACGTGGTCGGGGAACGCCAGGTTCTTCAGCGTGTCCAGGCACACCGACCCCTCGCCCACCTTGTCAATCAGGTCCACGCTGCAGCAGGTGGCGACGAACATGTCCGAGTAGCGTGGGCACAGGCAGAACGACTTCACCGCTATACCGAACCCGTAGTTACCCTTCACGCTCCACAGGTGTAGCAGCGTGCCGGCCTTCTTGTAGCCTGCCGTGCCGTCGCGCGGATCGTCAAAGTACACCATGTCGTGAATGCGATCGCGCACGCCGTTCTGCGTGACCATGCGCTCCATGACCTTGGCCACCTTGCTGATGGCCGAGCAATCGTGCTCCTTCACAGGCTCCTCGGCGTCACCATCATCATCACCACCCTTGCCCCCTATGCCACCTGTCTTCTTCTTCTTGCCTCCTGAACCACCGCTGGGCTCCAGGTTCTCCAGCTTGATCGTGATCTCAAGCTCGTCTGGCTCTTCCGGTAGTGGCTCAGGTTCCGCCGCTGCCTGCGCCTGCGCTCCGCCTGCCGGCTGGCGCGCACTGGCAGCCGCTTTCCGCTTCTTCTCCGCTTCCAAGCGCGCTTGTTCCTCGATGCACCTGTCGTAGATCTCCCACTGAGTGACACTGTCTGAATAGCCGGCGCGCTTTGGCGGAACGGTCATCGTCTCGCGTGTCGATGTAAACGATGTATCCAAGGTTTGAGTTTCACGATCGATGTAGTTGAACTGGATCAATAGCTTCGAGTCTCCGCCAGTATCGGCAATTGCGGCAGCACCGCCGCCCTCTCTGGATGCGTCCGCATTCTTCTCCTTCTTTGCTCTCCTGGTCGACGATTCCTCCCCGTCATCATCCTCATTGTCGTTGTCGTCGTCCTCTTCCCCGTCACTCTGCTCGTCCGGGTCTAGCGAATGCGAGAAACGTCGGGAGGTGGTGGTGGTGAGCGAGCCGCTTCTCTCGTAATCTAGAGCGCGCGAGCGTTGTCTTTCAGCCTCTTCTGAATCCGCTCGAATGAGATAGCTGGGCATCTCCCAGTGGACGACCATGTGCTCCGTAATACCGATAGACTTGTAAGCGCCCTCCTTGTAGTTATAGCGTGTTACGTTGGACGGTAATCGAGGGTTTGTGGCCTTCAACACTCGGGTTATGACTTCGTTTAGCTGCGCCTTCCGTCTGGCCGCTGCCTCTTCTTCTTCTTTGGCCCGGCGCTCGGCTTCTTTCAGCTTGGCGTTCTCCTTCTCTCGATCCTTGGCTGCAAGTGAAGCAACGGCCTCACGTATCAACTGCAGGTTATCTTTTTCGATACTCATGGTTGAGGGCCAGGAACGTTTCCCGTCGACCAACCCAGACAGAAACTTGTTATGTGAGAAAGGAGAGGAAATGGAGTTCTGCAGGACGGTAGAGCCGACGCAGCGGTTGCCTCGCAGTACTGCCAGTAGTCCCTGGCCTACACCATGTTACATGTACCAGATGTACACTGGCTACAGCACCAAACTGTCAGAGTGTCTACCATGGTCTACGCAGCTGCGTGCGGGTCTACAAAAAAAGTACAGAGAAGTAGATCTACGTGTGCTGCCTGCTCGCAATGTGAGATGTGAACGAGTGGAGAGTGGAGACAGGACTAGTACTACTACTACTAGTCACTACTACGTACTAGTACTACAGTACTACTAGACTGGAGGAACGGATCTACATGATCATCATTGGAGTTTTGGAACGGCACAGCCAGTAGACGGACGCTACTTGTAAGGGGCCGTCCGTAAATTAATATCGATGTTTTTTTAGAGACGATATTGGTGCGTCTGGGGGGGGGGGAGGGGGTTTGAGCCATGTGCGTCTTTTCGAGCATCAGAAAAATATCGATGTAAATATCTGAAGTAAGTTTCGCCGATCCCTGCACGCGGACGTCTAAATGGCTATACAAGAAATGTGAAACCAGCTTCTGTTCGCGGAGCTAAAACTCGCGACACAAGAACAAAATCAAAAATTGGAAGCTGTACGCCCATGGCGAATTTCAAGAGCAAAAGATTGAGCTATTGATTGTGGAAATCGGCCGAACGATGCCTGCAGGAGACCTTTTTCAAGACGTAGAGGCAGTGCGAACAAACACGGACGAACTCCACAAGAGTTTCCAGTCTTCACTGTCTGAACAAGGATTTGAAAAAATTCAAGCCCGAGCGTAGCCGCTTTGGCTACACCAGTACACGATGGCTGTGAGCACTGCAGCGCCAACCCGGTTCGCTCCCCCCATGGCCCAGGCGATGCAGCTATTGCGTGAGTGCGGCGGGATTTTCACGCCTACACCGGACCCTCAACAACCTGGGCACTTCATGAACATCCAAAAATATTGATTCGATCCATGATCTAGATGTACATGTACATGTGCGTCTTCTGGGGGGAGGGAGGGGGGTCAAGGGAGAGAAGCACCAATATCGTCTCTAAAAAAACATCGATATTTACGGACGGCCCCTAAGTAATGACTAAATTAGTTGTAGTTGTATTCATGTAGATCTACCTGTAGTGCAGACGTACATGCCAGGGGATCAAGGACCTAATCCAGTCGATAATGATGATTGACAGATTGTGACCTTCGCGGTTTAGCTAGCCGAGCCATCGTTACAATGATGTAAGTCATGTAGTAGACTACCCGCTAGCTTTGTCAGTTTGTGAACAGCCAGTCATGAGGTGTGAGCCGTTCTCGCATGCGCACCCCATGACCGGAAGACGCTCTGCTTTGGCGAGGAGACTGGAGTGCAGACTGCCACAGCTAGCCGACCACACTGCACTCTATCTCTGCATCCCTCTACTCGCTAGCTTCGTGAACAGATACAGTCGTCCCTCTCTAATCCGGCACTTTATAATCCAGCACCCTCGATAAACCAGCACAATTTTCAGTAGCCAAAATGTCCTCTTCATGCACATTGCAGCAGTAAATCAGATTTGTTAATCCAGCACCCTCCCTAATCCAGCAGATTTTCGTGGCACAAAATTAATGGTGCCGGATTATAGAGGGACCACTGTAATATTATCTAGACTGTGCTACTTTGTGGTGAGCCGGCCGGAGGTCCAACACTAAAACAGCATGTGTGAACTAAAACAAGGTTTATCTAATACATGTACATGTACCAACAGTAGACTCTACCATGCTTGCTTGCTACATGTATCTGTGGATACAGAACGAGGAGGACCAGAACTTCCGCGGGGAATTGTCCACCACAAGCGTTATAGTCAATTTCACTGTTGTTCGAGCAGAATCTGCCAATTTTCCCAGGCATTATCCACCAAAACCTATTCCCAGTTTCCAGCTGTGAAGAACCTGCCGACATTCTAGTACGTAATAATATAATATCAGCAATAATTGCTCACTGCACTTGGAGCATTTCGAGCACTCTTGGCGGGGTTTGCAGCTCTTTATAATAATGCTTTGCTTCACGGAAACGTATTTCATTGCGAAGAGCTGCGCTTCGGTGCTCTGAGCTGTGCTGAGGAGCTCTAACAGAGCGAAACAGTTGCTGCCCACAGATTTGAGCAATAATAATAATATTGTGGACCCATCATCACCAATGACAACCAAACCAGCTCCTCACCATAGATAAGTGGATGACATTCTGACACGTAGATCTACCCTTATCCGTCCGACCAGTCAAAAATCTACGACTACCGGTATCCGTCGATCAGTAAATCCATCATATCTCAGTCATTTCTTGACCAAATTCCACGATCGAAGGGTCTATCGCCATTAGAAAACACCAGGCTATCGTCTCGAACAATCGCCGAAGAGCTACGACACTCCCTTGCAACGATATCGTCCGCCGAAAGTAAAATCACGGCAATTGCGATTTTTATGCGCTCGGGAACATTTCAAAGTCAGATTTTTCTTTTTTGCATTACAGTTACGTCACCAAGCGCATTATGATCATGACGTAAAAACCAAATAAATGTTCTGTACACAAAAATTCAAAGTCCAGCGATGGAGGAGAGTGAAATGGCGAGACAATTTGGATTCTGCCCGCACATCTGGCGCTGGGGCAAGTTTGGCAAGTGGCGGCGCTCGACTTGTGGCTTTATAGATGTCTAATGTGCGCTCTGTGCATTCGTCGCGGACGGACCTTTCCAAGAAGCGCGAGATCATGGAATTCGGCCAATGGAGACTAAAGTTATGATAATTTGAAGGTAAAATATGTCGTGAAATTGCAATTTGGGCCTGCTGACATTCTGACACGTAGATCTACGCTGGCATTACTCCAAAGACAGATGCAACATGTCATGTAGTTGACATCACCTGGGATACGAGAACGCCAGGCTTTGCTACAACCATACAATTATGTACATCCACCTAACTCCTAAGTCCACGCCTTGATCCGAGGAGACGTGGAGGGACATCCCCTTCAACATTGCTGCAGTCCATAGCAGAAACAGCCTCACAATCCGAGTCACATAGACATAGCCATACAGTCATGGGCGATCTCGAAACATTCCAGTAGATCTACACTGTTCCATACAGGTACGGTGGGTCTCAGTCTTTCTATCGCTCGGCTCAGGCATTGAAATATAGACGCGGAAAAGGTTTCTAATCTTCACATCGCACTGGAACTGTTGAAGCGCAACCTTTTCTTTCTTTCTTTCTCCCCAGCGTTCGCAATGTTCAGGTCTTCTAGCGCGTGTGTCCAGTGCGAAGCTGAAAAGCCAGACACTGGACGTTTGCTTCGTTGCCTGCACGTCCTATGTGAGGGATGCCTGAAGGACAGCGTCAATCCACAGACGGCCAGCATTCATTGTGGAGACGTGGAGGGACATCCCCTTCAACATTGCTGCAGTCCATAGCAGAAACAGCCTCACAATCCGAGTCACATAGACATAGCCATACAGTCATGGGCGATCTCGAAACATTCCAGTAGATCTACACTGTTCCATACAGGTACGGTGGGTCTCAGTCTTTCTATCGCTGAAAAGCCTTTCTCCCCAGCGTTCGCAATGTTCAGGTCTTCTAGGGCGTGTGTCCAGTGCGAAGCTGAAAAGCCAGACACTGGACGTTTGCTTCGTTGCCTGCACGTCCTATGTGATGGATGCCTGAAGGACAGCATCAATCCGCAGACGGCCAGCATCCATTGTGTTTTGTGCAGGAAAGTAACAAAATTGACCGATGGCGGAGCTGCTGCGGGGAGCGCTCGCCGCCCAGCGTGGCAAACATTGCCACCTTCCGCTGGTACTTTGTACACCGCCAACACTACCGAAGGCGGGTCGAACCCGCTTTCGGACCAAGTGCAAGCTAAATGTCCCGCTCACGCTGGCCAGGTGTTGTCGCTGTATTGTGAAACCTGTAGTGCTCTTGTATGCGGGATATGTTGTGCTGCGCACATGCGCGACGGACATAGAATGGTTCCTGCTACGGATGTTGTCCAGAAGCAGAGGCAAGAAATTCTCCGAGCCGTAAAGGAAATCAGCAGTGTTCCGGGCTTGTCTGTCCTGGCCGGTTTGGACGACAGACTAACAGACCTCAGTGCTGCAGTGGATCAAGTTGACGAGCAGGCTAGTGATGCATCTAAGAAAGTGGAGACGTTTTACAACGATCTGATCAAAGCCTTGGAGAAAGACAAGCAACGTGTGAAGGATGAGATCGACCAGATCAGGTGGAAAAAACGGATACACTTGGAGTCTGTGCAAAGCCGGCTGAATTCAAAGCGCCAGACAATTGACACAATCCAGGTGCTTGGTGATCGCCTTGCTGAAGGCTGTTCTGATGCTTCCTCCAGAGACACAGTATCAACAATGGACCAGTATGTCTTATCGCTTCACAGCAGTATTCTGGACGCTACGAGTAGCATGACATCAGAAGACCTGGACACACCAATGATTCATATCACTGGAAAGCTAGGTGTGACCATTGATGATGAAGCAGTGGAGAATGCTGTCAAGACTGTAAAGTCACAAACAACTGTGTTCTCAACTAGAGTGGACGTGGAGAGGATGGTGCCTTATATGATTAAGAAGAAGTCAACACCGGAGGCGAATATGACTTTCCTCCAATTTCCACTCCAAGGCTTTGACAATCGACCACTTCACGTTGATACCGTCCCGGATGATGTCCATGTAAGCGTGATACACCCTGATGATCATGTGCAGAAAATGCAGTTGACAATGAACTGGAGCGACAACGGTAAACCAGTATGTGAGACTGAAGCGTTCCAACCTGTCTTTGGTGGTTATCCTGTACATGTATCATCAGCTGAAAAGAAGAAGGTCGCCTGGTATACGTTTTATTACATGGAAGAATTCAGCCGTCGTGTACGCTCAACTTCACTATCATTGT